CCCCCCCCCCCCCCCCACACACACACACACATACTCAATCCTTTCTGTCCTACTTCCTTTGGCTGTTCTTTTGTGAGTATTTCCTTTGAAAATCATTTGAAAACAAGCTGGATTGTACCATAATATGGTAACATACTAGGTGTACCGGTTAATAATGGCGGATTTTGTAATCAAAGAAAATACAATAATTTCAAGAGAAACATCAAAAGTGCTTTATTCAAAGTAACGTCCATCGCTAGCTACACATTTCCCCATCTTTCAGGTAATTTGTGGAGACTGTCCCAATAGAACTTTTCTTGTTTTGAGGCAAACCATTCAGGACCCAATTTTCTACTTCTTCGTACGTTTTGAAGTGCTGCTCAGAAAGTGCGTGTACCATCAATCGGAACAAGTGGGAATCTGAGGGAGCAAGGTCTGGTGAATACAGCGGGTGGGTTTATACTTCCCAGGCAAGATCTTTTCACGTGTCTTTAACTGGTTTTGAAGTGTGTGGTGGTGTGTCATCATGAAGCAAAATTACTTTGCCGTGTCTTCTGGCCCATTCTGGTTGTTTCATGATCAGAATTAATGGTTTCACCTGGATTTTGAAGCTCATAATACACCACACCTTCCTGATCCCACCAAACTCAGAGCATTGTCTTCTTTCCAAAGCGATTTGGCCTTGCAGTCGATGTTGATGGTTGACCTGGATCAACCCATGATTTTGTGTGTTTGGGATTCTCAAAATAAATCCACTTTTCATCGCCAGTCATAATTCGATGCAAAAAAGACTTTCTTTCATGCCATTGAAGCAACATTTTACTGATGACTTTTCGGTTTTCCATTTGTCTTTTGTTCAGTTGATGTGGCACCCATTTTCCTTCCTTTAAAATCTGTCCCATTGCTTGTAAACGATTGGAAATTGTTTGCTGAGCAACGTTTAATCTTTCTGCGAGTTCTTTTTGAGTTTGACAGGCATCTTCATCCAATAATGCTTGTAATTGTTGGTCTTCAAACTTTTTCGGTTGACCTGGACGTTCCTTGTCTTTCACATCGAAATCACCACCTTTAAAGCGTTTAAACCAGCGTTCACAAGTATCTTGAGATGGAGCATGTTCACCATAAGCTTCCCGGAGTATTCAGTAGCACTTCAAAATAAAGTAATGAATTAAAACTTCCCGCAAATGCTCTTTTTTGGGGGGCACGAAATTTGACATTTTTAAGCTTAAAAATATCTATGATGTTAACACCTTCAGCAAATTTGACATATGAAGTTTTGAAGCTTACTGTCACTACAACAAAATAGCATACATATCAAATTGCATATATATCAACATATGTGTAACTCCATCTATTGAAAAAAATCTGCATTATTAACTGGTACACCTGGTAAACTTAACCATAATTTATCGCCTGAATATTCATTTAAAATAAAAATTTTGCAGTCTAAGTATTTCTGTTCACTGACCAGTTTTATTTCTATCAGTGTATCTTATGGAAGTAATTATTGTGTAACAACAGAAAGGATTGGTTTAATTTGATGAATAGACAACAAAATGTTGTACAGACATACGCTTTTGTAACATAAAAACATCGCTAGATGTTTATGATGTGATAGAAAGTAACTTTTTGTAAGGTAGTGCTCTCATTTACGGAAAACGCGGACAAACGCAGATACATACGGCTCAGGTTCCTCTTGGTGGAAAGACAAGGATGATGTTCATCTTCTGCTCAGCTCTGCAGTTGGAGGAGCGATGAGACCTGGCACAGGCAGCCCGGTGCAGGGGTCCTCTGTGAGCCATTGCCTAACGCGGGAACTCACCCTGTTGGCCTGTCTCCGGTTGTCAGGAATGGGCACTGGTTGGCAGGGTTAAATGTACGGCACTGGTTGCTGTATACACGTTTCTCCCATGTTGGTTAAGGACAAGAAACACCTGTTTCTGTACTCAATTCTTTATTAGGTGGTGAGCTACAATGAGCAGATTTTAAAATCCTTTCTTAAAACTAGCGAGCCACAAAAGGACCTAGCTCTCCATGTTGTACGTATTCCGTCAGCGCTGTCCTGACTTAAGAGACTCTTTGGAATAAGGTCCCTGTGACTCCTGTGCTCTGGGAGAACCTGGTGCTGGTCTGTGTGCCTGTGTTGTGAAGCGAGCTGCTGGCCTGGGGAGGGCGTGGCTGTGCCTCGTTAGTCCTCAGTGACGTGTGTTCTGGGCGTGCCCTGGGGGCGTGCGGCTGTGCTCCTCCCGCTCGCTCACCACACCTCCACCTGCCGGCTGGGTCTGAAGCCGGTGCCTGTGTGGTGTTGATAAGCACCTGTGTCCCCCTTGGCTAGAGCTCCACTCGACTGGACAGCGACAGGGTGTCGTCTGCCTGCAGCACAGCCGAGCGGGGGATGGTGAAGCCGATGGTCCGCGTGGAGCAGCAGCCCGAGTACCGCTGGCAGGAGAGCAGGTAAGACTGGTCGCTTTCCGTTAGGAAAGGAGGGACGTTGCCCAGAGGGTCGGGGTACAGCTACCGCATCTGTAGAGGCTGAGCTGACCTGGCTAGAGCGTTCGAGGAAGGCAGAGTATTTCCTCGTCATGGTGTTGAAACGCTCTGATAGTTGTGTCCCTTCTGTCCACTGCTCTCCAGGTCGGAGAGGACGCGTGTTGGCTTCAGGGTTTCTGTGAGGTGTGCTACTCTGATCCAACTAGTCTCTAGGACTTGACTAGTTGATCATCTCACCCATTCTTAGAAGAAATTCCCACGTTTAAAACGCACAGAGCCAAGGTGGTTCGCAGGAGCTTTAGCCTGAGGCGCTGGTGCCGCCTCCCTCCCCCTCCCCCTCCCCCTCCCGCTCGCCCTCCTGCTCCCCCGGGGTGGTCTCCTGCCGAGACCTGGGGAGGAGTCAGTGTTCCTTCCTGCGTCGGTCCTGCTGGTGTTTTGCACAGAGCACTGCCTTTTGTTACCTCCTTCCCTCATGATTGTTAAATTCTGTGTCACTTGTACATCAGTTTTACTTCCTTGGGGTCTCTACCATTGTGGACGTGGGAAGTTACGGTCAGTGCCTCCAGCGTGGCGGTGCGTCCAGTGGCGGGGCCTGACCTGCAGCTGCTGGTGCTGCGTGTGCTGGGCCCGGGGCT